ACAAGTCACTGCCCAAGCGCTGGATTTCGATGACTTTGGAGTGAGACTGGGTTGCCTAAAACCTGGAAATGAATTAGCAGTTTTACACTCCTAGGTCCCTGGTCTTGGGGTCAGTAGGTTTTTTGAATGTTTTTTGGTTAGATGTCTGAAACAGTCCGTGGTTAACACAACCTTAAAGGGAAATTTCGGTTTATTTCAACTCGTCTCCTATCGTCCTAAATTTGTTTCAAGTGACTAGTGACATAGAAATAATAGTTAGCATGTTAGCCATTAGCCTAGATACAGCCGTAGCGTCAGACCTGTTAAAACGTAAGTGAACGGGCATCCTTTCAAGTGCAAAGTTAGTCCACTAAACAAGCTTTTTCTCCACAAAGACCGCCTCATATCGTTAGGATAAATGTCAGAGAACATATAGAAAACGACATGTAAACGTGTTGTCTTACCTTACCGGTGAGCTGCCATGTTTGTTGTTTACCATTTAGCTAAGGCTGCAACCGGTCCCATTCCTTGCAACAGAGGTATTCCTCTTCTGTGGGCATTGGGGTACAGCATTCACAGGTAACGTTACACCACCAATCTCCAGAGCTAAAGCCTCGCAGCAGTCATTCCTCCTCTGTCGTCCTCTACCTGTTGTGCCTCTCTCTCTCTCTCCTCCTCCGTTCTTCAATTTCACAAAGCTCTTTGTCAGTGCATTCTGGCTCAAACAAATAAGGGCTTCCATCGAACTCTGCAAAATCAAATTCCTCCTCCACAAAGTCGCATCTGGCAAAAAGTCAGCCATTATTCTATAAATCTTTCATAAAATAAATGAATGAACTTTTCAGGCTACTGTCCGGTTCCTTCATGCCTTCCAGCTGCTGCGGCGTGTTCTCGCGAGATTTTGGCCGCGCTTTGGGAAGCAGAGGTAAATGGCAGCCTTAGCTAAATGGTAAACAACAAACATGGCAGCACACCAGTAAGGTAAGACAACACGTTTACATGTCGTTTTCTATATGTTCCCTGACATTTATCCTAATGATATGAGGCGGTCTTTGTGGAGAAAAATCTTGTTTAGTGGACTAACTTTGCACTTGAATGGATGCCTGTTCAATTACGTTTTAACAGGTCTGACGCTACGGCTGTATCTAGGCTAACGGCTAACATGCTAACTATTATTTCTATGTCACTAGTGGCTTGAAACAAATTTAGGACGATAGGAGACAGGTTGAAATAAACCAAAATTTCCCTTTAAGAAACTTTAATGTTTCGTTCTACGACATAAAATACATCAGTTTGAGGGCTTTATGTGTCTTCAATAAGACGGTTACGTCGTGATGGTGACCTTGAAGTCATACTGCTATTGTGTAGTTTGTTTATAGCCTAATGTCAGCTTTTTATTTCTGGCTACTGCATTTATGCTTCAGAAATCATGAAGGTGGTGTTAATTCATGACAACCTGGTCTCACACTGAAGTCATCGTAATCCGACACTTGGGCAGTGACTTGTGGCAGTAATGTTGGCATACGTGTCCGGTCGCCGTTATAGTTAAATGGCGCTCGGCAGCATCAAGGAGAAACAGCAGGACAAGAACTAAAGTAAAGGCAGCGGAAGTCAAAGTAGGGCGGGCAGGGTCCAAAAAACATGGACTTTGACCCAGGAGAGCGGCGTTTTTTCCTAAACCTAACCAGGTGCATTGGCTGTTGGAGGGAAAAAAGGCATCAATATTTGTTGTTGTACTGATGTAGAGTATTTATTTTGAAAAAGACTGTATGTAAACTGTAAATTTCCTGTGAAAAAGGAAGTGTATTTTGAAAGAAGACAATGCATGTAACAGGCAGAACTTGACACGGTGTCCCAGAACATCAACAAGCAACGCACCCAGGGTATCTTTCACGTCATATCTCAAAGAGGAAGGTCCATGACCAAACGTCAATATGTGACGAGGTCGGAGTGAGAATGTGTTGTTTGTTTAAGGTTATCTGGCTGAATAAAACCTGTAAGTATTGTAAACCTTTGTTTGCCACAGAGCTTATTTTCTGCAATAATCCAAAATCCAATGGAAAAATCCCTCTGACTTTCTCTAAGGGAACCAGGGCAATGTTACCATCTGTGTTGGCCTACAAATAAACATCATTCCTGCAGCACTCTGTTCTAAACCATTTGATATTAGTAGCACATGGCAGGCCTGATTAAAAAAACACACACACAAAAAACAAAAACTAACATTGTAATGCGTTTTCTTTCTCACTACTGATTTATAAGATTCAGCTGCATTAATAGAACTATAGAAAGAGATGACAGACTTGAAATAGCTTTATGTAATTACTGTGCATCCTTTTAAATCCTCTCATAAAATGTAGGGCAAACAGGTGAAGGCTGCTAACTTGTCCTCAGCCAGCCTGCCACACAGGAGGCAGAGGATGATGTGATTTAGGGTTTTAATCCGGAAAAAAAAGAAAAAAATCATGGGTTGCATGATGATTATTACTGGAGCTAAATTCTGCTCTTTGTTGTTTGTCGGATTGTGCTTCTCATTTATGGTGTAGATATCTGTGGAGTACATGTAACTGGCGGACTCTTGTGTTGTCTGCGTTGTGTTGATATGAAGAGGCCATGGATATCTTTGGAGCTGATCTCTGTTTATTCCTGACAACAAGAGGTAAAAACAAGATCCTTCGTCAATTAGACCACAAACTCAAGCCCCTCTTCTACAGTGCACAGCAGCAAAAGGGCAGCCAAGTTACCAAAAACATACCTGACAGCAAGAGGTAGAACCAAAATCCTCCATCAATTATGACCGTGCAACTTGGCCCCTACACAAATTAAGTGACACAGGAATATGTTAGCATATTATACAATAAGTTCACGCGGAAAAATTAACTTATAAACAGCTCAACAGCGCTACAACACAGAAATTACTATGAGAGCAATGTCACTTACCTCTCCCATGGGAGACAGGTAAGGCAGGAGACACCCCTTTATAGGTAGGGTCCCCCAAAGGTGAACGTAGGGGTACAGAAACCGTAATTATAATACTTAACATTAGGGCTGAAACGATTCCTTGATTAACTCGGATAATTCTATCGCTAAATCCAGTACAAATATACAGTGAGCTGTGCTTCACATGGATGGTTGTTTCTGTTGCACAACTCGCTTGTTACTTTAGCTGTAGATAGCCTGCACAGCTGTAATGTGGATGTGAAGCACGGACTGCAAAACTATGGAGTAGGAGGGACAAGAAAAGAGCGAGAGACACCCCAAAGAAAATGAGAAAGTGTCAAGGGTGTGGGATGATTACAAGTTAAAACGAAAACAGTTCAGTGTGTGTTGCAAAACAGAGTTAGCATACCACAATAGCATGTCCTCAGTGCTACAACTTCTAAGTAGAAAACATTGGGTGTATGCATCGAGTTTGCTGAACGGACCCGGCACAACAAAGTATGTTAATGTCACGTTTAACTGCATTTAACCTTAATCAGTGATTGCTAGGATGCGTATTAGCCAAGTTTTGCTGTAGAAGATAGCAACACATGGAAAATGACATGCAGTAATCAACTTGTTACAGCCTTAGCTCCATTCATGTTATTATGTCAGTCACACACACATTAACACACACACCCATTACTCAGTCAAGCACTTTTGCACACATGCACCTCCTCAGTCACTCTCAGACACACACACACACACACACACACACACACAGTTGAAAATGGAGCCTAAATGCACGTATCAAGTACAGGTATTTTAATTTGGATTGCAGTAAGTAGGGTCAGCAGGTGTAAGGCACCCCTTAACCACAGTGAAGTCTAAACTAGTCAGTCATAGGAACTTAAAGTATTATATTTATGAAGGCCAAGTAATAAATATCAATACAAAAAATTATACTCTTAAGTTGCAGATTCTTACATTGGACAGCTTTGTGCAAAGGGGTCCACCGTGTTCAACTGAGCAAGAACAAATTTGTTGCTCATTTCTCTTAGTTCAGAGACTTTTTAGTATTTTCTTTTTCTCTATATGTCACTATTGCATTTAAATAAAGCTAAAGCATTTTAATGAAAACGCAGTATTTCTTATCCGATTACTCGATTAATCGCCAGAATAATCAATGGATTACTCGATGAATCGATGGCTGCAGCACTACTTAATATTACAAGTGTACATCTGACTTTGCTACACATATTACTGCTGTATATTTGACCCTGTTACTGTACATACATCCATGAAACAATGACCACTGCAGGCTGAAGGAAAGTGAAATAAGTAGCCTCCTCTGGCAGTGAAGACATACAGATATCTATATAGTAAAGTGCCTTTGACATGTGAGTTTGGAGTGACCTCAGGTTGATAAATGCTGTAGCTTAAAGTTGCGTGATATCCCTTTTTGGTCTCCTGACATATTTACACAGTGGAGTACCTTTAAAATTTATTAGGGGATTACTATAGGTGATTCACATAATGGGCCGCTCCATCTTCCAGAGCACGTCAGGAAATCTTGGTGTAAACATGGCATCCATCCACTGCGAACTGAGTCACATCAGGCTGCAGAATGAAGCGAAACACGAGGAAGAGCTGAAACGTGACGGAGGAATCACCGGAGCGGCACAAAAAAGGGATAGTGTCTAGTGGGAGGGGAAAGAGAGAAGGAGAGAGGGAGAGATACTATGTGGAGGAGTGGAGACAGTCCCCTGGATGTGTGAAACGCCAGGGGTTGCGTTTTTGGTTCACTGGTTGACTACCAGAGGCAACCCAATAATGTAATGGGAAAGTTCTCAACCACAAAACTTAAAGAAAAGTTGTGAGCCCCATGATATGGCAGTGTTTTAAGTGATATGCATGCTTATTGAACTTTTGTTTTGGAGCCAAACATCACTGACCAATGTTTTGCTGCCAGCTGCGCACAGAGAAGACGCATTATCATGGGAATCACAGGTGGGACATGTAGACCACTGAGACACTCACACAGAGCCTAAATCTATTATTTTCTCGGACGGTCAGCGAAGCATTCCGCTTGACTGATAGCGATGGCCTTGGAGGCAGACAGCGACAGAGGTTCATCAAGAAGCGCTCATGAAAAATATCCCCGGGCAGCGTTGGAGCGCAACGGCTACGTGAAGACATGTGTCACCCCGTTGCACCAGGACGCAGGGAGCCAGTCGTGGCTGAGACTCGCCGTGACATGGACTTGCCGAGGAGTGTCGTCTGCGGTCTGCGTTGCCTCCGTCTCCGTTATTCTCGCTCTGCTGCTCAGATTGGTCGACTGGGATGCAGGCAGCAGCAGCAGCAGCAGCAGCAACGGAAATAGCAGCGGCTCCGGTTCTCGTCTTCATTTCGCGGCGGGCTGCGCTGTGGAGCTGCTTTTGACCGCTTGTTACTGCGTCTCCCCCGTTTTTACACTCGTATGTGCCTTCTTCTGGGTCGGACTGTATCTGATTCGCTGCGGGGTGCTCATCCGCACCGCGATTTTTTTGTTAGCAGTGTGCCACTTGGGAGAAGCCGCGGCGCAGTCCCTCCTGCGCGGCGCCGAGGAGCAGCTGCTGTCCCTCCCCGCAACCCTGGTAGTCCTCGGCTGCCTGGGCAGCGGGGCTCTGCTGGTCGTCCGGCTGCGTCAGGGAGTGTCCATCCTCGTCTTCATTAGCGTCATCAGGGCCGTCTCCCTCGTCTCTCTGAGCAGAGTCCGGGCCAACTGGAGACCCTACCTGGCCTACCTGCTGGGGCTGCTGGGGGTTTTGCTTGCGAGTTATGCTGACCGGCTCCTGCCGGCCTCAGGGACCAGCGGGACGGGGTGCTGTGGCTCTGTGACCGGGGCGAAGGAGGAGGACATCCCTGTCTTCAAAAGGAGACGGAGGTCCAGCTCCATAGCGGCCTCGGAAATGATGGCTCACAGTCAGAGCAACAGCAAGTCCCACCGCAGGACTTCGCTGCCTTGCATTCCGCGGGACCAGGTAAGACATGTCCAACTTCGGACATCTGAACCAGAACAAACTCAGGGTTTTGTTATTGCTTTTTATGACCTTTCACTTACTGTAGACCTGCAACGCTTTCTGGTATCCTCTGTGTTTCGCTGATGGCATGTGTGACAGCTTTACGCGCGTTTCCTTCATGACACCGAGCAAACCGGGGCAACACAGACTGTAATAACACGCTTTATTATCACCATAGCAAAGGTTTGTGTGCTCCGTAGACCTACATGTACACTCTCTGAGACCCATACTGGTATTTTTGTGATCTACTGCTGCTTTGGTGTTTGGAATTGCAACATCCTCTCCACCGTGCAATCACTGCTGTTTACCCTCGCTCTGACACCGCTGTTAATTTGGTCATCATCATTGTGCTGTATTTGTGCTGCTGATAAGCAAATGGATGGCTCACTTAGCATGCCAAGTTACTGTGTGCCTGCCTGCCTGCGTGCGTGTGTATGCGCGCGCGCATGCATAGGTGTGAGGTCACATGTAAATATTTTGAAAGCCTCTGTTTATCCTGGGTGCTGGCTAGTGGTGTGGTGCACGTGTTTCCAAACTTAACACATGATGGAGCCAAATTTGATACAACTGTGTCCTCATGAGAACCTCCTCTTATGGTGCATGATTACTGCAGTAGTGTTCCTGGAAGCAACACCAGAGAGGGCTGTGAATAATTATAGTTACACTGTATATCACTGTGTTTATATTCTGATGTGTTCATTAACATTTAACAGAGGTGCCCCTGCTGTTGATCCTGAAGGTGTCTGGACTATTTTGGAAACTGTGCAGAGAGTGGTGAATGAAGGTGTAGCGATAAGGGAACATGTACACAGTGTGATCCAGGATAATTAACTAAATGTGACCAAAAATCCATGAATGAGGTGGATGTGCTTTGCCCTAAATACTTTTTCAATGAGCTAACTTGGAGCTTGAAGCACACTCTGTGTTTGTTATCCAACTTGAGCTGTTCACATCCCAAAATAGCTCTGATTTCAGCTTCTGTACACTTCACTTATATCGTGTTGGTTTATTTTTCATCGAAAAACATTTATTCTGGGGATGTAAGTGTGACAATGTTAAGGATCGTTGTCTATGAATCAGTGCATCAACATCTGGCTTGTGTTGTGATTGAAGGTCCAGTGTGAAGGATTTAGGGGGTTGTATTGGCAGAAATGGAATATAATAAAATAAGTATAGTTTTTTTTTAGTGGGTATTCACCTGAAAATAAAAATTGTCCTGATTTTGTTACCTTAGAATGAGCTGTTGATAGGGAGCAGGTCCTTGTTTACGGAGATTGCTATGTTCACCGCCATGTTTCTACAGTAGCCCAGAACAAACAAAATAAAGACTGGCGTTTTCACGTTGGCCACCATAGTTACTCTAGCAGCCCCTCTGCGACAACAGCTTCATAAAAACACAGATTTTTTTTAACATAAACTGTTTTATTTAGTGTTTTTACCGGTATCATCGCAGATTTGGAGAGGAGGAGAACACTGTGGATAAATCAGCTCCTGGTAAAAACCTGAATGCCTGTATCTTAATTTATTACAGAAAAAAAATTAGCACACATCAGCATGTGGTGGGCGAGCTGCCCATCTCTGACATGCCATAAAGCATCAGAGAAACACTGATTTGTAACGTGAAACTTTTTTATTCAGTGTTTTTACTGGCTTTAACACTTTCTGCATCCGCATACACCTGGTCTATTTGTTTTGGAGAGGAAGAGTCAGGAGACGGCACTCCTCACTGCTAGATACCTCTAAATCCCCTAAATCAGTGGTTCCCAACTGGTGGGTCGCAGGTCCAAGTGACTTACAAATGTGTCAGTTGTGAACACAAAACAAACAAAAAAAAACACTTTGTTTTGGAGTGCAGTGAATATGCAGAGCTTTTATTCTGAAGTGCTGTTTCCTGCTGTAGAGTGAGTGACTAGCGGATAGCTACTTAACAAAGACAGCAAACTAGCTCTACAACATGGCCAAACGCAAGTATGAAGCTTAATACAATAAACTGTGTGGACCTTGAACTTATGACTAGGGAGAAATCTGGACCTTGTGTCTGGACCAATTGGGAACCACTGCTCAAAATCTTACACATTGGACCTTTAAATGTGCAAATTTGAACAACATGATTCAGACTGTGATTGACCCCTGGTTGCAGAGTGGCGTACCGTATTTATTTTTATGGTTTACAGGCAAAATGTGCTTTCATGAAAGCTGGTAGCTTTGCAGCCTAATGGCATGTAGAAAAAAAAAAACGCTTTTTTTAAGTAAATGGTATTTATTTTTAGCTCAGTTACTGACAGCCAGAGTTTGAAGTCCTTCAAGAAATATCTTGTATACTGCATTTTTTCCACAAAGACACTTATTTGATTTGCCATTTCCATATTCTATATCGCCTATATCTGTATACTGACAGTCTTTGTTGGACACGGTTTAGTTCAATCTCAATACTGAGCCTCCACCAGCTATCCATGGACTGCCTACTTTACAATTCACTTTTTAGTGCCGCAGCATAACTTGACAGAGAGTTGAATGTTCACTTTAAAGAGGGACCCAATATAAAGCACTCTTCAGATGAGGCATGCTCTGCAGGGTTAACCTCACACCCACATCTAATCTTTGTTTTGTGCTTTGCTTCATAAAAGGAATGATAAGATATCACCATGCCAAAAAAGAGCTTGGAAAAAAATCAGTCATGATAATCTATTTGATAACACAAATACGTTGAGGGAAATTTAAGACTGTAAATACATTATTAAATTAAAAAATGAAGGAAAACATGACTCATCTTTCAGGCCTGGGAAGTGGTTTCTGTTTTTTTGTGATTTCTGTGTTTTCAGCTTCAGTATTTTTCCACACCTGACTATATCATCTGATACGTATGCCTGACACTCACTTGCTCTCTTTTGCGCACCTTGAAAACAGATCACATTTTGATGATGTTATTTACGGCTGAGTGTTGACCTCTCGCTGAAACAAGTGATGCCTCCGCTGATCATCCTTTGATACCGGTGGATGCCTGCTGCGCTGAAGGTTACTCTCCTGCAGTCTTTGCCCCTAAATGTGCTCATGCCCTCTAGTGACAAACTGAGATAAACACTGAGAAATTTGGGGGGAATGAACAAGGAGCTGGCACTGTTGTTGCCAAATGGGAGATAGAGACGGTGATCCTTACATATCCATGTACAGTGGGGATTCACAGTGATCACTTTGAGTGGGTGTGCTTGTTTTTCCTCTTTTTGCAAAGTTGCCCTGATCTCATCTATAGATTTGACTAGAGAGGGAAACAAAGTGTGACCGAGTAAGAAATAGCAGTAATTAAATGTCTCATCAGCTCTCCTCCTTTGATTGAATATACACTTTTGAAATGAAGCAAACATTTACGACCTCCTTCCTCAAAAGCACAACCCTTCAGTTAGTCACTCCAGTGCTGTTTGTAATCAAAATGGTCAAGCCAATTTTACGGTGTTAGGCATATCACTCTTCAGCAACCGCCATAAATTTAGCAACTCAGATTGGGCTAGTTTATATACGTAGTCTGTGTGGCTGATGGTGACTCATCACTGGATCACACACCTTTCCAAGCGCCCTGATCTAGATTCCCACATGTTGTCCCATCTCACAAATGCCATTCTCTCATTTGGAAGCTGGAGCTGATCCCACATCAGCTGGCCGACTTTAGATGCCTGGTTGTTCACTGCTAATTGGTATCCGGGGAACGCTGACTTAGTGGACTATCTGCACTATTAGAACAGCTCCATTACCCGCTTTACCTCGTCGTCTCTGGAACAGGACTGATGACAAATTGAACTTTGAAACTTAAAACACCTCACAATTGACCAGATGCTGAGGACAGCGTGTCCTCCTGTAGTGTGTCCTCTGTGTAATCTGAAGGACCGGTGAGAGGAACATGGAGATTGATGTAGGGCACAGAAAGAGAGAGAAAAACACAAACAAATGGACTGTACTTTGGGTTTCAAAGTCGTTAAAGACATTAGTTTTACAGTATATAATAGAATAATCCTAAATCCTGGCCACTGGACAAATGGAAGTTCAATGTCAGTCCTGTCCTTTTAGCTCCGTTGTCGTCTTTTACCTTCCAAGACCCTCGACCATCTTCGCCATTTAGCCACTAACTCTGTCTGTCTGCTGTTTAGTGCTGGGAATTTAATATACAGGTCTTTGTCACAGCTTTCACCTGAGTGGAAATTCACCAAATATGTCCCTCAAACAAAATGAAGCTAAATACGCTATCATGCACTCTTATGCCTGCTAGATGTATAAATTGGGACTGTACCTGATTTCAAATTATGTCAGCCATATCAGATTTAGCTGTTCAGTATGAATATTTGACTATTCATTCTTTTTTTCCCTGTTTGAGAGTTTGAACAGGGTTCAGTGGGACATTCAGGGTGTCAGTGATGTTCATGTAATATACAGTAGATGATTAGAATCTTCAACTTTCAGAGGGCAGCCATAGTATAAATTCAAGTTATGCAATGCAACACTGATCAGAGACAATGCTGCAAAATAATGATGGTTTATTAGTGTTAATTTTTTTACTAACTGTAGAGTAAGCCCTTAAGTGTTTTAATGAAAGCGAATGAGTGAACAAGGGAGTGATTTCTAAAACCATCCCAGTCTGCATATCAAACCACCCTAAATGGCAGGGATCCTCAACTTGCTTTGCCTGGGGGCCACTTGCAAAATGACAGGCCAGGGGCCAGATAATAAACAACCATTAATAATAATTATTAGTATGTATAATAAATTAATTGCCTGTTTTCAAGCTTTCAACATTTGCTGTCTTCATTCGTCCTAGCCAAGAGGCAAATCCAGTCATGGCAGCCCCACATAGATCAAGTGTATGCAGGAGTGTAACTAGGATATGAGGACACTTGGGGCTTAGCCTGGACCTTTGTCTAGGGGTCCAAGGGCACTTGATAAACAATTTCCATATAGATGCCTTTTTATTAGGG